TAGGTTGCTGAATGAGGAAAATAGATTAAAAGAATAAAATATGATTTTTAGATTTAAAACTATTATTAATTTATTATAATTAGAATTTATTTACATTTATGATTTTTCTCTAATGCTTTACTTTTTGATTTCTTCTTGTTGGTTCTGTCTGACTAAAACAGTATTCTATGACCCAGTAAGTGGTTCTGAAACAGCCACCGCCCCTACTGAGGCAGACCTGCTGCTCACATCATTTTTATTTTATTTGATTTTATTTTTTTATTCCTTCATCCTGAAACTTTTTGCTGCATAACAAATAAATTTGAGCCTCAGTCAGAAAAAAAAACTGGAGGGTTTTTATACTTTTGGCCCGAGAGGAGGAGAAAATAACACTTTTTAGGTTAACAAAAAAAGTGATATTAATCGAGATCGGACGATATGAAAAAATTAATCGTGATCATTTATTTTTTTGTCATATCGCCCAGCCCTTTGAACAAAGAAGTCTCTCTACTGGTCAGTGATCTCAGAAGCAGAGCTGAAGCGCGCCAGCAAATACGCCAAGAGGTGAAAACTGAATCAGTGTAACTCTTCTGAAACATTGTTTTAAAAGTTTAGAGTGGATCTCTGAGGTGTTTCTGTCGGTACCGTCAGGTGGCGTGAACATGTGACGACTCGTCACTGAGGCGTCAGATGTGGGACTTTCCTGTGGCTCCTGGCTGCGTTGGCTTTCATTTCAAATAGAAAAACAGAAAACAGAATATCATCTTTTTTGTTTGTTTGTTTTATTGATTCTACATGGCTCCGATCAGCATCTCAGAGGCCCTGTTCAGGAGGCCTCCCCCGTCTGATGGAGAGGGTGAAGGACCTTGAGAGACAGATCACATCAAATCAAAATGCGGAGCGGGCCTGCAAGCTCCAGCTGGACGTCTGGTAGGACCTTGGGGACCTCTAAGTTGCTGTATTGTTTTATTCTTTTAAGTCCATGTTGGTGTCACGGTTTGTGTCTGGAGGTTTTTTTTAATCCTTTGTCCTTGATTGTTATTAAAAATGCCAGAAGCTCTTGTTAAAAATACAATTAATAATAAATATTAGTTCTAAGTTCTAGTTGTTTATCTGCTTTCAGAGGACCAGAAAGTTGTAATAATGGTAGCAACACTGCCAAAGAGTAGGTTGTTGGTAATTTAATTTAAATGAAGTAAACTCTGAGAAAAGCCTGTTTTCAGGGGATGAAATGGATAGTTTTTTTTTCCCTGGGCCTGCACTCTTGTTTTTATCTCTCACACTCAAAACGTTTTTTTATTTTCCTTGAAAGTGCGTCATCGGGGTATTTCCGCACTGCTACGTGTGGGTGGTGGAACTGAGCTGGGGAGGTGAAAGCCAGAGCTGCGGCTGTGTCAAGTTAAACATTGAACAGCACCGGAAATACTTACAATTTCCTTCAAAATAAAAGCGTGCCGATCCGTACTTTTATTTTATTGTTGCGACCTACCCAGTTGTGTAGAGGTTAACACTGTTTACAGGTTTAAAAATAAATAAATCTGACGTTAAGCGTAAAGACACTTATAGTGTTTGTTCAGATAGTTTCACGTAGTTTTGTGGATAAAAATGTTGCTTTCATATAAAGCCTTTCCAAGCTACTCATTCAGGGTCTTGGTAAATGGACACTTCCATGTAAACAAAAGTCAAAACTAGAACAAATACATTCAGAAACAAATATTTGCCAGCATTACCCACATAAAAAATACAACGAATGAGAAAATGTGTGGTTGTGCTTTCTGCTTCATCCTGTTTATAGCTTTATCTGGGTCAGCACTTTTTTTTTGTTCATTACAATGATGATAAAAATACCAAATTATATTCAAATTAAAAGTGAACACCGATTCTAGAAATGTCGTCCTCCGCATGATGACACAAAAACCAATTCAAAAAGCTGTAGTATCCATGCCAGGCCTGTGTGTGGCACTGCAACACTGCCAAGGGAATGCATCTAAAACAGGAAACAAGGTGTGGAGAATGTTCTTAGAGCTTATTTGCCAAGTTGGAAATGTAAACACAGCAAAAGAGAGAGAGAGAGAGAGAGAGAGAGAGAGAGAGAGAGAGAGAGAGAGAGAGAGAGAGA